CGATCGCGCCCGCCCCGCCCCCCGCCGCTCGGCCGCGCCGCGGGGCTGGAGGGCTCTGGCCCACCTCTCACCAGCGAGGGACTCGAAATCCGAAGTGTTAGTGAATCCCGCCAGTCACCGGACTAAATGTAACGGGCGCTCAGGCTGTCTTCGAACTCCGAGTGGAATGCTTGTTGAAGTATTAGCAGGAACTCATTTGGCCAGAGGACGTAACTCTCCTGCGTCTAGGTTGGTGTAGATCCCGACCCTGGCTCGGCGTGGCCTTCGCGAGTTCCCAGCCTTCCGATGCCTCGGTGTCCTCCTCCGTGAGACAGGGGCAATAACAGCACCACCGCGGGTAGAAGTGAAGCTAGGGAAGGAGAGAGGCCAACCGTTCTCAAGTGCACATGACAAAGGCCTGAAGATATTCCTCATTAAACTGCTGATTTCTGGGCCCCACCCTTCCCCTAGACATTGTGATTCAGTCGATTTCGGTAGCTCCCAAGGTCCGCATTCTTTTAGGCCCCAGGTGTGCAAGGGGGGGGTCTTGGCTGGGACTTCACACCTGGAGAAACTGCAGTACACCCTTAAAGAAAGTCTGTTCGTACTATTAAGATAGTAAGATTCCCTCTTCATAGGCCTCTGAGCACTCTCCGCAGCACACAGGATTGTATTCACTTTAATTTTTTTTTTTTTTATCGATGATTTTAGAGAGAGAGAAAACATGGATTTGTTGTTCCATTTATGCATTCGTTGGTTGATTCTTCTATGTGCCCTGCAGGGGATCGAACCCACAACTTTGGATTATGGCGGTCACGCTCTAACCAACTAAGCTACCCGTCGTCCACGGCTGTGTGCTCGTTAAGCCAGGCTCCCTAAGTCCAGCAGCAACAGGCCCTTGGGCTCTGGCCTCCTGGTTCCAGGCATCTGGCTTGAGCCTCCGCTTACCCACACAGAGTACAACTATCAGCTCCAGAATTCTGGGCTGTTTTGCCCTCCTCTGTGTTATTTGCACCTAGCAAAGTGTCTGCCAAGCCAAGCACTCGATACATAACATGTTTCTTAAATGAAAAAATAAAGGAAGAGAGGGAAGGGGACATACACGTTCCTGTGAGTCAAGCTATAGACGTTCCATGGGTGCCGTTGCAGCACTTAAGGTGTATGTTTGCAAAAAGGAAGCCTGCATGTGGTCGCCGTTATTTCCTGCCTTACCTCCACTTAAACCAGGTTCTGACCAGTCTATCAGGATCTCTAGCTTTCCTGTGTCTTTGAAGGTCTGTGTTGTTCCTTTTTTGTTGTTTAGAACATTAATTCAGTTTTTCACGTGTGAGAAATAAGAGTCAACTGAAGTCACGCCGTTTTAGGAAATCTTTCCCTCTACACCCTCCCACCCCCCATGGAGAACAAATTCTTCTACCTCCATGGGAGATAGCTCTTTGTAACAGATCTGTTAAAACGAGTATCTCCTTATTTTACTATTGTTTGGCTACTTACCTCTACAGAGGCAGAGTAGACGATTAGCCTGAGGGGAATTAGTTCTAACCACCATCTCAATCAGTGCTCCTCCCTGTTCTTTGGTATTTTCTGAGTCTGATCTAAAGTGCTAAGAGATTGCAGTCAAGACAAATCCTCTTCTACCCAGACCCTTCCAACCAGACAATCCTTCACAATCCTTCCAACCAGATTGCTACTCCCAAACTTCACTTTTATAGAAATTCTGGAGCCACCACCATGGATTTGCTCGCACTGAGCAAAACATCCATAGCATCTGGCACTCAAATAGATTTTGAATTAATTTGTCTATGTATTAATTCATCTATCTTTTCATCTAGTTAAGACAGGTCAGTAAACCGGGACAAGCAGAATAGGGAAACTGAGACTATCATTAAACAGCAGTTTGCAACCATCTAGTAAATCCTATCTTCCCTAAACCAAGGACACTTAAGAGTAAATGGTTTGCATTTCTCCTCCCCAACCAGAGGGTAAATGGCTTAAATCACGGTTCTCAAGGAGATAGCAGAAATCCCATTAGTGCAATTTGCCAACCACGCCCAAAGATAGAGGAAGTTATGAGAATAAACCTCATTTTGGTACATCGGCATAAAGCCGATGAATATTCTTTTAAGATCCTCCCCTAAGACCACCCCTAAACTCCCAGCCTTTAAAGCCTCTCAAAACAAAGGCCCCAGTGCTAACTTTCCCTCTAAGGAGCATGCCTCCACCCCTCTTCCTCTGCTTTCCCCTACAGACATGCATCTCCTAAACTCTAAGGGACCTGAAGAGGCTTGCAACCAGAGCAGCAATGGGCAGCAGCAGTTCATCCCAGGCAAATCCCCTGAACCTATCCCCAAGGCCCTCTTTTCTCTGACTTCTTAGTGAGCCAAAGCAGATCAGCCTAGGCTCATTTCCCCAGTCCTTTCTTATTTCATTGTCCCCAGCTTTAATAAACATCCTCTAAAATTCACCTGGACTCAACTTGTGAAATTTTTCCTGCACAGAGTCAAGAGCCCTCACATTTACCGGCTGGCCTTAGGCAGACCCACTCAGGGCCAGGTCCCCTGTCTGGTAACATAGTTGTTCAACTAATACATAATTTCTATCTCCTTTGCCTTTCAAAGCTTATATTTCTTTTTCTCCTCAGAATATCTTCAGGAGTAAAAGCCTTATACTTTCAATCCAATACTCCTTTCTAACTTCCCCATTCTTGTCTTTAACCACACATCAAATATCTCACAGCAAATATCGTCTATAATCATGCCTATCAGACTGCTTTCTCCTACTTTCCCTATAGCCAATCAGCAATAATTTAATATTATGTTTCTCTCTCTTTCTTCCTCTCTCTCTCTCTCTCGGGGAAGTGAGAGGGAGAAAGAAACAAAGATGTGAGAGCAGAATGTTGATGGGTTGCCTCCTGCACGCCACCTATCGGGAATCTAGCCCAAAACCTGGAAATCCAGCTAGCAAACTTTTGGTGTATAGGACAACGCCCAACCCACTGAGCCACACCTATATTTCTCGAAGTTTGGTTCCAGGATCATTGTATCAGAATCACAAGGGAGCTTCTTTATGTAAATTTCTAGGCCATACTGTCAGACCTAATGAACCAGAAGTTCCGGGGCAAACCCAGCAATCTGAAATTTTAGTATGCACTCCAAGCCGAGTGATTCTTTTCAGTTTGAAAGTTTGAGATTCCTACTGTGCTCAAGGTACAAATTTTCATAACATTAAAGGATAGCTCTTAACTATTAATTTTATTTGTATTTGGAACACAGTTCTGTTTTTGAAAGAACCCACCTATGTATAGCAGAAATCCGTATCTATATCTCAAAACATATGGAGAGAAAACAAAATCTTTTAGAAGCTCGGGAGCTAGAAAAATAATTTAAACTGACAGCCTGAGGAGCCAAAAGGGAAAGTGACTCATTGTGACGCTTCAGACCTTTGTGGAAAAAGGATGTGATCACGAATTTAGGAAATTAGTCCAGTTTGAATTCATCACCAGGCAGACTCATGGGCAGGATTAAATGCCCTACTTTTCTTGATCACTGGGTTAGGAAAAAATTTTTGAAACTGTCCATTCTAGCAAACTAATGTAATTGAAAATTTTAAATCCTCTAAATGTACTATTGATAGAACAGAATTTTGACCTAAATTTGTAAGCTTGGTTGTCTGCTTTCATATGATACTGGTGGAAGGATAAACCAGTACAGCCTCTACAAAGGACATTTGCAGTATTTATCAAAATTAAAAATTCTCAGTCTTTAATGTAAAAATTCCCCTTCTAGATAATTATTCTACAAATATACTCATTCATGTGCAAAGTAAAGTATGGAGGCTGTTATCTTAAAAATAAAAAGGCCTTTCAGAGTAAGAGGCAAGCAAACATTTGTTTGAGATCAATAAGAATAGCTATTTGGGAATCATTCATTCAGGCAGAAG